CCCTTTGTTTTTTCTCCTGTTTTCCTGCCCTGCCCCTGTGTCCCTCCCTGACTTGAACAGGTTTGAATTCCTCAGCAACATCTACAGCAAATAATAGCCGTTGTGAGGGGGAACTCCGCCTCGGAGAGAGAGTGCTAGTGGTAGGACAGAGACTGGGCACCATTAGGTTCTTTGGGACAACAAACTTCGCTCCAGGTAACTCATCTGCGTATTTGCTTAACTTGAATTCTTTAGAATACAAAAGGTTTAAAATTTTACATGTGAATAGAATTTAATTGTAGAGAAATCTTGATGAACAGTTTTTATGGATGGCAGCTATAGCACAGAAAATGTGAAACAATGATGAACACTCAGACTGTGTTTACTCAGGTGGATGGTAACCCATACATTTTTTTCTTGCCACTTGTGTTTTAAATGGTCAGTGTTAAAAATTAGTTGTCATTCTCCAGTTTTACTCCTACTGATTGCTGGGTGTGCTAAGTGACAGGCAAACATTTTAGGATTAGATTTTTGCTAAGGATAGTCTTTAAAATAAGTAGTAAATAATGAGTTAACTGTATACCTTTTTATCAGAGTGGCTTGCAGAGAAAAGCACACAAAAGGGCTCAAAATACATTTTTTTGGGGGGCTCTTAAAAATACATGTTTGTGTATTTATATATTCATTCCAATCTATACTTAACATTGTGTTTCCAAAAGTAAAGATTATTTTCTATTTTTTTTTTTTGAGATGGAGCTTTGCTCTCATTGCCCAGGCTGGAGCGCAATGGCATGATTTCGGCTCACTGCAACCTCTGTCTCCTGGGTTCAAGTGATTCTCCTGCCTCAGCCTCCCGAGTAGCTGGGATTACAGGCATGTGCCACCACGCCCAGCTAATTTTGTATTTTTAGTAGAGATGGGATTTCTCCATGTTGGCCAGGCTGGACTCAAACTCCCAAACTCAGGTGATTTGCCCGCCTCGGCCTCCCAAAGTGCTGGGATTACAGGTGTGAGCCACCGTGCCCGGCCGGATTACTTTGTTTTGTATTGTCAGTGATTAATAATTTTAAACAGAAGTCGGTTGAACGAAAACAAGTTTGTATATTTTAAATAGCAATATACTATTTTAACACATGGTGGCATTGCAGTATTTTAGGAAAAGGTTATCTAGAACATTGATTTTTTTAAAAAAGTTTGTAGCATTTAGCCAAGAACTATGAGGGATCTGAGATTTTACCCTACTTGCAAGCTAACAAATTCACCTGCCACAGTTTCATAGATGTTGGTGGAAGATATTGTGAGTCATCACAAGTTTGAGACAAAGCACTCTAGTACTCACAGTCATAGCAGTAGCCAGAGTATCGGCATTTTCTTGAACTATTCCCTTAGTGCCAATTCTCACAGGGTGAGAGCGAGTGAGCCAGGTGTCACCTGCACAGCCAGTGTTTTTTTGTTCCAGGAGAGGACCCCAGAACTTAGGGAAACTGAATCTTTAAACTGAACTTATTGTACACATGCCTGCCATTTGCTCTGGTGGGAGATGCTATCTCTATCCTCCAGGGCTGTCCCCTACACAGACGTTTATGAAAAGGTAGTCTAGAACAAAAGTAGTCTACCAGTAAGACATGTGGAAACATGATAGGACCGTAGGTGACTGTCTCCCAACACAGTCTTGTTTCACTAATACCACTTACAATTAATTGCAAGCCAGCTGCTTGATTTGAGTTAGGTGTTTTATAATTCATGACTTTCTTAGGTCTCCAGGTAGTAATTGAGATTAGTTAGGATATACTTAATATGGCATTCAAATAAAAACTTAATCCCACAGGTAGGTTATTTTTTTACAATTACCATATCTTTTGAGTTCCCTTTCTCTGATGATATTAAACCAAGGTAGAATGGTTTGATTCTCTGGATATAATTCTTCATTTTAGGTTGATTTCCATTTTTAAATTCATAATGTAAAGCATTTAGAAATTTGGGAAGTAGTAAGCAAATATTATAAAAGGTGGAAACTTTTTTGTTAAAAACGTTCTGTCCTGTAAGGAAGTAGTTGCATCAAAAATAAATCACTGCTGCGGAACAGTGGTAATATCTTCAGTATTTGGAGGTTGTAAGATCTAGATTTGAGAGAGGTCGTATTTAGTCTCATCAGCATTTTTTATCAGCGACACCTTGGAAAGAAAATTAACATTTAATTGGGAAGATACCCATACCACACCACTGCCAAGCTGTAGTCTTTATCGTTAACACTTGCCATATGTATTTCTACTGTATGTTACACGTTTCCAAGAGTTACATGGTTAACATTAGTAATTATATGGTCAATTAAAATGGGAAAATGCAAAAATTATATAGGAAAGCATAAAAGGCAGAAGCAAGTACAACTTGGAAAATTGTAACTATAGCACTGAGAAGTAACAGTGGCAACCAGACTAACCTGGTTTAGGACATTCGGAAATGTGATGACCTATTTTCAGAGCGTTAGTGCGGCTTAACAATAGTTTTGTAGACATTACTTGTATTACATATTAGGAAATGGACTCAGGTATCATCTTTTTATACATAGAGGAAAAAAATTAAGAACTTGTGAATTGGTTTTTTTAGAAGGCATTAAGAACTTGTGAGTTGGTTTTTTAGAAGGCATATAATTAACTCTGAACTAGTAATCTGGAAGAAACACTATTTTTGTAATTTGTAATAAGTTTCTTGATATCTATGCCCTATTTTTTACTCGATACTGATTATAAGAGACCAAATACAATTACTACTGTATGCTCCTTTTAAATCACAAATAAATGGACTATTAGATACTTTTAATTGGTCTTGAGGCACCCTCAATTCGAAAATCCTTATTTTAGGATTATGTGTCCATTTACCTTATATTGGGTACAACCACATTTAAAGCAACCTTGCTACTTTAATTTTAGGCTCTCTAGAAAAGGAAATCCTGTTATTTCCTTCAGAGTAGTAGGTCCTTTTAAATACAAAAAGTCTTTAAAATAATTCTCTCTATTAGCTAACCTAAACCTTTTCATTTAGGTAAAAAAAGATTTTTCTTTTTATCTTGGGTAGAAAAAAGAAAAGAAAAAGCACTCACTATGATGTCTAGTGGTATTTTCTATAATATTTTTGTTCTTTAAATATTTGAGCGCTGTTTGTGGTGTTCTAATGTTAGGTGAGTCAGATGAAAAGATTGCATGTTCATTTTATGATTTTTAAATCTCAATATTATGTTTCACTTCTTTCACTGAAACACACTATATTACCGAGTCAAGAAGAGTTTTTCATTGCAGCTTTTAGATATATTTTGGTCATATACTGTTTGCACAGTTGCCAATTCTTGCCAAATTTGTGTTTGTGCATTTTATTTTCCTCCTTTAATGTACTACTCTGCAATTATACTTGTAAAATGTTTTGCCTGTTCACTTTTCGAATTTTCAGAGTTTACAATTTTATCATTTGAAATCTTAATGAGTATCATGATCTTCCCACATTTTGGTCATTTATGGAAATGTTAAACCACCTAGACTTTGCTTTTATATAGTAGCATAACAGTTTTGGATAAAGTACAGATGCTTTTAAAATGCAATATTCATGTTCTAGGATATTGGTATGGTATAGAGCTTGAAAAACCCCATGGCAAGAATGATGGTTCAGTTGGAGGTGTGCAGTATTTTAGTTGTTCTCCAAGATATGGAATATTTGCTCCCCCATCCAGGGTGCAAAGGTGAGAGAATGAAATTTATGTTTATTTACAGAAACTTTTTGTAATTTGCAGTGGTTAATAGAGACACTAATTTTATATTAAAGACATGCTCTGATCGTGGCTCATGTCTTCTTTCAAGGGGTTAACCAACCACCTTCAGAGAGAAGGCTCATGGAAAGCTAAATTTGCTTTGCTGAGGATTTGCAATTTTAAAAACCTCCTTTATTCCTCATTTGCAAACCCTATGAGTATGTGTAGGCTATTAGAAGTGGCGTTTGGAGCTAAGAACAGTGAGAGCAGCAAGCTTAATCTGTCATGCAAACAAAAGTAAAAATGCTCTCTGATTGCTTCAGTCACATCCTAACTACATTAAATTTCCTGCCAGCAGGCACCCCATTCATTCTCCTGCAAACCTAATGGAACCAAAATGGCTTTTTCCTCTGATTTCTTTAGTTTTCAAAAATAGATAGGCAGTAGATCTTTGGGGGAAGTGAAGCTTCAAGGATTTTTATATAATATACCTCCTTGGTGTTTCTTCTTAAGATAGTATCTTTCATACCACCTCATCTGGTTTTAAAAAATAAGTTGAGCAGAAACAAAGTCCTCATAAAATTCCAGATATCATTATGTGAAATGGCTTCTCTTATGCTCTGGAAGAAGTCGGTTGGTATGCCTTTGAGTGGATGGGAAATGGGACTAATCTTTAAATGAGAGATAACATATATGGCATCATCACATTCATGAGACTAGAACTACGATCGCAATCTGGGAGTCTTGTCTAGTTTTCCCTCACAACTAGACTGTTGTGACTATCTCCTGGCAAATTGAAGTTTTTACATCCATTTCTCCCTCGGTTTCTTTTTCTTAGTGAATCATTACATATTTGTTTAGTATTAATTTCCTTCTGTGATATACTTGATGTAATTTTCTTCTTATTTATGGTGATACAGAATTTAACATACAGTGTTTTGTCGTTTATAAAGTATCTTCACTTAAATGTTGTTTCATTTGATCCTAATAAATATTGATCAGGTAAGCTGGAGAATAATAACTATCACAAATATTTGTTGAGCATTTAGTAAGTGGGTAGGCTCTGTACAGTGTACTTTAGATGCATACCTCATTAATTCCCCCAGACCCTGTGAGCTGTAAGCTATTAGGATCATTCCCATTTTGCAAATGAAGAAACAGGTTTCAAAGAGATAAGTGATTTAGCTGAAGTCATACTAATTAGGCGAGGAGCTGGACTCAGCCTGGGTGTGTTATTTTGTAATTTTTTTTTTGTAAGCCCTTGCTTTTAGATGGTTTGTTCTTTTTTTTTTTGTATTTATTTTATAAATGAAGAAAAGGAAGGTAGTAACTACGAATAGTGCTCATACATGCTGGGGTCTGTTTGCAGGACTCTTCATATATTAACCTGTTTACTGCTCTCCAGTAACCCTGTGGTGCAGGCACCATGTTCCATGGATGAGGAAAGTAAGTCACAAGAGGTGACGTGTGCTGTGCTCCCAGCTGGGGATTGGAACCCATGTAGTCTGGTATCAGCATGCATGCCCTTAACCATAACCCTATAATGGTTAGAAGAGCTTCAGGGACCTTCTTCAGGGCATATATCTTGCAAATAATTGGTTTGGGAGTAAAATCCATGCTGAGTCACCAGTCAGTCTTCTGTGTTCTCATGTTACTTTGGGCATATCTTCATCAAAACATTGCAGCAGTCTCTTAGAAATTTTGTCTGTCTCCTAGTCATGAGGACTGGGATTCTGCTTGTCATGTTTGATTACCCAGAGTACATAGTTTGGCATATTTTAGGCACAGTAAATATTGATCCAATCTGATTCCTGGTTCAGTGGTTTTATGCTGTAACAGCTTTTTCCCCCTCCTTTACATTGTAAAGCCACTTTCTCATGGTTTCATCTTTTCTTTCTTGCTTTGTTTCTGCAGCACACGTTTTTTACTTTTTTTTTTTTTGATTGCCTTCTATTTGGTTTTCTTTAAGGTGGTGCATTTAAAAGCAGCCCCCTCTGCTTAAAAAAAAAATAGGGCTGTCTCTAAATGAACTGCTATCTCAATCCAGCTGTCTTCCTGTCATCTTCTGATTGTCTCATTCATCATCATCAAATACTATTAAGTGTCTTTTAGCACTTATGCTGTGCTAGGCATTCTATAAGCAAATAAAACAGACATGGTCCCTGATTTTGAGGAGTTTCTAATCTGAACCAGCTTTGGAACTCTTGAAAGATACCACTGATCTTCAAAATGGAAGAATTTTAAGCCAGGGACTATCCCAGAATGTTTGCACACATTATTTTTTTCTGCTTGGATGGCTTTCTACACCCACCTACTATTGCCCAACTTTCACCTAGTTAATACATATATTAACCTGTTTACTGCTCTCCAGTAACCCTGTGGTGCAGGCACCATGTTCCATGGATGAGGAAAGTAAGTCACAAGAGGTGACGTGTGCTGTGCTCCCAGCTGGGGATTGGAACCCATGTAGTCTGGTATCAGCATGCATGCCCTTAACCATAACCCTATAATGGTTAGAAGAGCTTCAGGGACCTTCTTCAGGGCATATATCTTGCAAATAATTGGTTTGGGAGTAAAATCCATGCTGAGTCACCAGTCAGTCTTCTGTGTTCTCATGTTACTTTGGGCATATCTTCATCAAAACATTGCAGCAGTCTCTTAGAAATTTTGTCTGTCTCCTAGTCATGAGGACTGGGATTCTGCTTGTCATGTTTGATTACCCAGAGTACATAGTTTGGCATATTTTAGGCACAGTAAATATTGATCCAATCTGATTCCTGGTTCAGTGGTTTTATGCTGTAACAGCTTTTTCCCCCTCCTTTACATTGTAAAGCCACTTTCTCATGGTTTCATCTTTTCTTTCTTGCTTTGTTTCTGCAGCACACGTTTTTTACTTTTTTTTTTTTTGATTGCCTTCTATTTGGTTTTCTTTAAGGTGGTGCATTTAAAAGCAGCCCCCTCTGCTTAAAAAAAAAATAGGGCTGTCTCTAAATGAACTGCTATCTCAATCCAGCTGTCTTCCTGTCATCTTCTGATTGTCTCATTCATCATCATCAAATACTATTAAGTGTCTTTTAGCACTTATGCTGTGCTAGGCATTCTATAAGCAAATAAAACAGACATGGTCCCTGATTTTGAGGAGTTTCTAATCTGAACCAGCTTTGGAACTCTTGAAAGATACCACTGATCTTCAAAATGGAAGAATTTTAAGCCAGGGACTATCCCAGAATGTTTGCACACATTATTTTTTTCTGCTTGGATGGCTTTCTACACCCACCTACTATTGCCCAACTTTCACCTAGTTAATACCTTTTCTTTGGCTAATATATGACTCAGTCAAAACTTCTTTAGAGAAACTCTGAGAAAACTCACGAGGTTAATCACACATACACACAGACACACAAACGCACACACACACACACACGTTGCTCAAGTGATCTTCATTAGCATAGTGTTCACTTTCTTAGTTCTTACTATTATTAGGCACTTACTACTAATGAACTGATTACTTCTAGAATTCACTCCCTCTCAACTGTCTGTTACTGCTTCATTCAAATATCCGTCCTCTTCATAAAATCATATTCTTTGTGTCCATCAGTCTCTCATTGTGGTATGTTGTATATCATGTAAAAATGATGCCTGTGAATTGTAACGTGAAATTGCAAATATTGCAAGAGTTGCAGGATTTCTTGATGGTAATAAGATATGCTGGAGGAAGTGATTGACAAATGACGGCTTTCCAGGTTTAGGTCACTAAACAGTTGAAAGAAAATGAGCCTGTCAGGATTGACTTTTTAAAAATAAAGAATGATTTGAATATCAAAAAATGAAGGAAAACCCATCGGGAAAGTGACCTTTATGATCGTGGCTTAGAGTCAAATATAAAGCAAAAGATGTTGAATTGTATTAGTCATATAGTTTTACCAGAAAAATCACTCACACAAACTCAGCCAATGTATTTTTCTTTCAATTTAAGAATTAGTGCCTTTTTCACAGTATTAATCTAACATTTGTTAAGTTTAATATAAAATAAACATATTTTCATATTTTTAGTTTCACCTTTGAAGATGAAGTTACAAAGAAATAAATTCAGGTCCATATTTTAGGTGAATTCACTTGAATTTTTTTCTACACTAATTATCTCTGGATAGTGAGAACCTCTTCTATTTAATTATTGTTTTTCTTCCATGCCAGATGGAAGCTCATTCCTGGCTTATAATGGACACTCAATAAATATTTGTCTAATGAATGACTACAATTGGGGTGAAAAACTTAGTTGATAGCCAGTCTTAAACCTGAAAACCAGCTACTTCTAACGAGGTGTACTTTGTTTTATTCATAGAGTAACAGATTCCCTGGATACCCTTTCAGAAATTTCTTCAAATAAACAGAATCATTCTTATCCTGGTAAGACTACACAGTTTTGTGGTCCTAATCATTATTTCTTTGCTTTCATTTATTGAAAAATTTTTATTGTGAGGTATATATGTATACAAAAGGGTCTATCAACTGTATTTGTATAGTTTGTGTAATAATAGAGCAGACATCTGTTACCTATCCCGTGGCTGAAGAAGAAGATGACCTGATCTGTAGAAACCCCTGAGTACCTCATCATCTCATCTGCCTCCCTCGTCATATACCCCATCCTCAGGTGGAGGAGTCTTGAATTGCACATTAATTATTCCCTTGATTCTCTTTATTTTTATCACGCATATATAGATATATCAATAAATAATATGTGTTTAGTTCTGGTTGTTTGCTATTTTGTTATTTAGCATTCCATTGAAATATTCATTCCATAATTGATGGTTATTTGGGTTATATCCTGTTTCTTTTCTATTACAAACTATATTCTTGTGCACACTTGAAGTTTCTCTAGCATTGCCAGGCATGGGATACCTATGCCCTCCACCTTCCTAGGTAATGCCTGTCTGTCTGTATTGCATACTGTATCTGCGATGAACCGGAGCCTCTGCTGCTCCTCACCTCGTTAGTACTTACCTTGTTTGATTTAGAAGTCTTTGCCTATCTGAAGGGCTTAAATGGTATTTCATTACGGTTTTAATTTGCGTTTTCTAGATTACAAATGAGGATGAGCCTATTTTCATGCTTATAGGCCATATGCCTTTCCTGTATTATGAAGTACCTGTTCAAGTTTCTTGCCCATTTTCAGGGGGTGGGTTGTCTTTATCTTATTAATTTGTAGGCTTCTTTGTGTATTTTGGGGACAAACATTTTTGTCAACTTCATGTGTGGCAAATATCTTGCCCAGGTTGTTACTTGTCTTTTAATCTTTTTATTTATTATTTTTGGTGTCTTTAGGTTAGCAGAACTCCTTAATTTTTTGTAGTCAAAATAGCAAAACATGTTATGGTTTGCCCTTTTTGTTTTAAGAAATCTTTTCTTAAAATTGAAATTATGAAGATATTTTCTTATGTTGTTTTCTAAAAGATTTATATTTTTGTGTTTCCCATTTGTCAGTTTACTCAGAATTGATTTTGTGTGTGGTAAGGATCTAATTTCTTTCTTTCTTTTGCACGGATAACCACCTGTGAAAGAATGATTTGTATAATACCAATCCTTGAATAATTGTTGAGGTTAATTTTATGGTCCACTCTAATAGGTATGTTGTTTTAATTTGAAATTCCCTCGTGTTTTAATTTGGGATTTTCTAAAGATGTTTGATGATGTGTTGGTTGCTAGGGATGCTGTGACAAAGTACCACAGACTGGGTGGTTGAAACACAAAAATTGATTTTCTCAAAATTCTGGAGGCTCTACAAGTCTGAGATCAAGGTGTTGGCAGGTTTGGTTTATTCTGAGGCCTTTCTCCATGCCTTGTAGATGGCCTTCTATCTCTGGTGTCTTCATGTGGTCTTTTTCATTGTGTGTGTGTGTGTGTGTCCCACTCTCCTCATCATAAAGACAGCAGTCACGTTGGATTAGAGCCCATCCATATGACCTCATTTAACTTAATTACCTCCAATTACATATGACCTCATTTTACCGTAATTATCTTCAAATATAGTCACATTCTGAAATGCCAGGAGGTTAGGACTTCAGCATATGAGTTTTTGGGGGACACAATTCAGTCTGTAACAGATGCTGACTATCTTTTCATATGTTTATGTGCCATCTCTTTTTTTGTATTTTTTATTGACATATCATAGTTGTACATATTTTTGGGGTACATGTGATAGTTTTATGCACATATACAATGTGTAATCATTAAGTCAGGGTAATTGGGATATCTATCACCTCAAACATCGATCTTTTCTTTGTGTTGGGAACGTTATAATTCTTCTCTCCTAGCTATTTTGAAATATGCAATAAGTTATTAACTATAATTTTCCCCCTGTGCTGTTGAATACTAGAACTTATCCCTTCTATTTAACTGCATGTTTGTGCCCATTAGCCAACCTCTCTTTATCCCCCTTCCCACCCACACACCCCTCCCAGCCTTTGATGTTAATCATTCCACTCTACCTTCATAAGATCCACTGTTATAGCTCCTGCACCTGAGTGAGAACGTGTGATACTTGTCTTTCTGTGCCTGGCTTATTTCACTTAACCTCCAGTTCCATCCATGTTGCTGCAAGTGACAGGATTTCATTCTTTTTATGGTGGAATACTCTTCCACTGTGTACATATACTATATTTTCTTTCTCCATTCATCCACTGGTGGACACTTAGGTTGATTCCGTATCTTGGCTGTTGGGAATCGTGCTGCAATAAACGTAAGAGTGCGGCTATCTCTTCAATGTACTGATTTCCTTTCTTTTGGATATATACCAGCAGTGGAATTGCTGGATTCTATGATAGTTCTATTTTTAGTTTTTTGAAGAACCTCCATCCTGTTTTTCCATGATGGCTGTAGTACTGCTTATTCTCAACAGCGTACAACAATGTCCCAACAATGGTATGCTATATCTTTTTTGATGAAGTGCCTGTTCACATCTTTCGCTCATTTTTAAATTCTGTTTGCTATTTTCTTATTGTTCTTTGTATATTTTGAATACCAAACATGTATCAGACATGTGTTTTGCAAATATTTTCCCCCAGTCTGTGGCTTGTCTTTTCATTCTCATAACAGTGTATTTCACAGAGCAGAAGCTTTTAGTTTTAATGAAGTCCAAGTTATCAGTTTTTCATTTCATGAATTGTGCTTTGGTGTTTTATCTAAAAGTCATCATCAAACCCAAGATCACTCTGATTTTTGTCCTGTGTTATCTTCTAGGAGTTTTATAGTTTTGTGTCTTATACTTAGATCTATGATCCATTTTGAGTTAATTTTAGGGTAAGATGTGAGGTCTGTATCTAGATTTTTTTTTTTTTCCACATGAGAATGTCCAGTTGTTGGAGTATTATGTGTTGAAAAGACTGTCTTTTTTTCCATTGAATTGCCTTTGCTCGTTTTTCAAAGATCAGTTGACTAATTTATATGGGGCTGTTTCTGGGCTCTCTGTTCTGTTTCATTGATCTATTTGTCTAATCTTTTGCCAGTACCACACTGTCTTGATTACTGTAGCTTAATAGTAATTCTTCAGGTTGAGTAGTGTCAGTCCTCTGGTTTTGATCTGCTTCTTCAGTGTTGTGTTGGCTATTCTGGGCCTTTCACCTGTGTATATACACTTCATAATCAGTTTGTTAATATCCATAAAATAACTTGCTGGGATTTTAACTGGGATTGCATTGACTATATCGATCAAGTTGGGAAGAACTGACATGTTAATATTTAGTCTTTTTACCTATGAACATGGACTGTCTCCCTATTTATATCTTCTTTGACTTCTTCCCATCAGAGTTTTATAGTTTTCCTTATATAGACTTTGTACATATTTTGTTAGATTTATACCTATGTATTTAATTGTTTGGCATTAATGTAAATGGTATTGCTTTCGTAATAATATATTTTTTTATCTTATACCAGCGTTCTTTTGGTTAAGTATTTGCCTAATATATCTTTTTCTGTCCATTGACTTTGTAACCTTTCTATGTTCTTGTGTTTTTAGAATATTTATAAATGGAATATAGTTAGGTTTTCCTTTTATTATTATTACTATTATACTTTAAGTTCTAGGGTACATGTGCACAACGTGCAGGTTTGTTACATATGTATACATGTGCCATGTTGGTGTGTTGCACCCATTAACTCGTCGTTTACATTAGATATGTCTCCTAATGCTATTCCTCTCCCCTCGCTGCTCCCCACAATAGGCCCCGGTGTGTGATGTTCCCCTTCCCTAGTTCAAGTGATCTCATTGTTCAGTTCCCACCTATGAGTGAGAACATGCGGTGTTTGGTTTTCTGTTCTTGCAATAGGTTGCTGAGAATGATGGTTTCCAGCTGCATCCATGTCCCTACAGGTTTTACTTTTTTAAAAAAGTCTGACAATCTTTCTTTTAACCTGAGAGTCTTACTCATTTGCATTTATTGTAATTACTGATATACACTGATGATATTTTTGTTATTTGTTTTCTATTCACTTTTTTGTACTTAATAAGTGATTTTTATTTCTCAACTTTATTCTGGCTATATATCCCACCCTCTGTTTTTTTTTTTTTTCTTCATTCTGTTTACTCCCTCTACTTATGTAGAAGTTATAGTCTATGAAGATGCTTCTTAGTAATTACTGTAGATAATTTAGCATTAATACTTGGTAAAGTCTGAAGTTAATGATTTTTATCCTTTCTCAAATAATAGAAAATAATTAGAAACTGAGTTGTCCAGTTTATATTTTATTTCTCCTATAAATTTGACATTATTGTAGTAGTTTTATATTGTAACATTACTCTCATATTTCCCAGTATCTTTACTCATTAGTCTCATATTTCCCAGTATTTTTACTCATTAACCTTCAAAATTTCTACTTGGGATCATTTTTAAAATTTCATGTATATTCTTTAAAATTTCTTTTAGAAAGGGTCTATTGGGTAGCAAACTCTTTGTTTTTTGTCTTTTCCAATGATAATTTTACTCGGTGTAGAATTTTAGGTTGAAAGATATTTTCCCCTTGCATATTGACAGTATCGTGCTGTTTTTTGGCTTCTGTCATTGTTGATGAGACGTCATCTGTGAGTCTAACTAATTCATATTAGTCGTTTCACTATGATATGTCTAGGTAGAGATTCCTTTTTGTTTATCCTTTTTGTTTGGCATTATGGATTTTTCTGTATCTGGGAGTTGATCAATTATTTACAATTCTTATAATTTTAAAATAGTTTCTCCTTTATTATCTTTCTTAGCTCCTTCTGAAACTCTGTTTAGTAGTATGTTGGACCTTCTCATTTTCTTTCCCATGCTGTCTCATATTTTTCACAACTTGTCACTCTAGACT